GCCCTGTCCTGTCCTGTCCTGCTCCGGCCCTCCCCAACACCGCCCTGTCCTGTCCTGTCCTGCTCCGGCCCTCCCCAGCACTGCCCTGTTCTGTCCTGCTCCAGCCCTCCCCAGCGCCACCCGCCCAGCTACCGTGTGTGCCCTGCGCCGGCTCAGGGAGGGCTGGGAGACTTGGGTTTGGGGGCCAGGCGGGGGGGGGCAGGGCTGCCTGGGAGGGGCTGGGTCTGGGGAACCCTGCTGGGGGTTGGGGGGACTCCCCTTGCCTTCCTGGGGCTGGGGCTGGGGCTGGGGCTGGGCTGTGAACTTTCCTCATCTGCAGGGCTCAGACGTGAGTGTGTGCACACGTGTGTGCGTGTGTTCATGTGCATGTGCGCAGAGCAGTGTGGAGAGGGGCTGGGCACGGGTGTCTCCCCTTTTGTGAGTCAGTGGGACTGTCCTGCAGCCTGGGGCTGACCACCGAGGGTGGCGCGCTCTTGCTCCCAGCGGCCGGGCCCGGCACCTCCTTCCCTCCCCTCTGTCCTGCCCTGGCCGGCCTGTCCCTCTCTCAGCCCCTCTCGTCCCTCCCCGGTGGCAGCCAGGGGGCCAACAGCCATGCCGCCTGCCCCTGCAGGAGCTGTCCCTGGGCGCAGGTCTCTCAGGACCTGCAGGTGTCCTGTGCCTGCCGGCTGACCTCAGGTTCCACACCCAGCCCGCCTCGCCCCTGCGCACAGGCTCCCGCTGCCCGGCCGCGGCCCAGGGGTGAAGGCTCCTGGAGCTGCCAGAGGCCCGGATCGCTCAGGGCAGGGGTGCGCCTCCCTCCCCGGCCCGGCCCTCCCTGTGAGCCGCAGACCCTGAGGACGGACAGACAGGCGCCAGATGGAAGTGCAGGGCTGCGTGGGGCGAGCTCGGAGTTTATTCAGGGGGCAGGTGGGCGGGCGGCTCAGTAGCAGGTGCCGTCCACCTCTGCCATGACCACGGACACGTTGACGTGGGTGGGTTTACCCGACAGGCGGTCGATGGTCTTCTGCGTGAAGGCCCGTGGCAGGGCCTCGTGGCCCACCATGCAGGAGAAGTTGTCCCCGTTCTTCCAGGACTCGGCCGTCACGCGCAGCACGCTGGTCACCGCGAAGGTGGAGGCGCCCTGGCCGGGCTCCTGCCGGGACGGCCAGGTCAGGTAGTCCCCGGGGGGCAGCTCCTGGGAGCCGCGCAGCCAGCGCACCAGCACCTGCTCGGGGCTGAAGCCGCGCACCAGGCAGGTGAGCGACACCAGCTCGTTCAGGGCCAGCTCCTCCGACGGCGGCGGCAGCAGGTGGACCTGGGGCCGGAAGTTGTCCCCTGCGGGTGGACGGCAAGCTCAGGGGCTGCGCCGGGGGCAGGAGGCCCTGCCCTGCCGGGCGCCCTGGCTGTGTCCTGGCCTCCCAGCACTGCCTCCCTCTGCACGGGGGGGACGGGAGCGCCCAGGCCCAGGGCCCCGGGGAGGAGGAGGCTGGGGTTGTGCTCCACAGACTGCAGAGTGCTATGCAGCGCCCCGCGCTGGGGTGGGGCTGGGCCCACCTGAGACTTTGGTGATGCTGGCAGTTAGTGTTTCCTTGGACTCAGGGTGGGTGGCGGTGCACGTGAAGGTCTGCCTGTTGTTCCACGGCTCGGCGCAGCCGGGCAGGACACTGGACACGCTGTAGCAGCCGCAGGAGTCCCGCACGGGTGTCCCCTGCACGGCGGCCTGCCCCGCTGAGGGCTGCCAGATGAAGGTGGCGCCCGTGGGTTCCACCAGGCCGCTCAGCGTGCACGTGAGGTTGGCGTCTGAGCCCAGGAGCAGGTCCTCGAGGGCCGGCGGGTGCAGTGACAGCCGGGGATGGCAGCAGGAGGAGTTCGGCTTTATGACTGCACAAGAAGCTGGGTTGATTGAGAGAGGCCTGAGCGGGCCTCGTGCCCCTGTCGCCCCCGTCCTTCACCCAGCCCTGGGCCCCGGGCCCCACCCGTCTGCAGCCGTGACCGGGGCTCAGCCCAGCAGCCCACTCCTGTCCGAATGAGGGGTGGCTCCCCCGGGGCAGGGTCCAGGCCTTGGGTCAGGGCAGGATTGGGGCCCTGCCCCTCCTCTTCCCTCTCCTCCCCTCCCCGCCCCTCCCCTCCCCCAGCCTGCCCTCTGACCATGGCCGCAGGGCACGGACACTTCCTTGTCGAAGTTGGAGTTGTGCTGCACGCGGCACGGCACGGACTTGCTATCCGGGCACTGGTCGGCCGGCAGGGTCAGCTGGCTGATGGCGGTGTACAGGCCCCCAGCGCCAGCCTGGCTGGGCAGGTACTGAGTGACGGTCACGCCATTGGTTTTGCTCCAGCTCATGCTCAGCGGCTCCGCGGGGAAGAAGCCCTGGACCAGGCAGCCGATGACCACGGGATTGCTCTGCTTAGGTCTTGGAAGGCTCAGTGGGAAGACCTTGGGTTGGGTCGGGGACACTGGAACACGGGACACAGTGTGAGCACGCGGCCCTCGGGCTGCCAGTCCCCGACAGCCCCGCTCAGCTCCTTTGCCCGGGAGGACCCGCAGCGAGGGGTCCCGCCTGAGGGTCACGCAGCCCCTGCGCCGGCGGCCTGCCGACGGACCCGCTTCCGGTCCCGGACACGCTGTTTCTGAACATGTGCCTCAGACGGGCCTCTGGCGCAGGCCCCAGGCGGTGAGGTGTGGTTGCTGGGCAGGGCTCTGCCCGCCGCAGCCTGTCCCCGAAGCTCCCCTTCTGTGCGGGGAGGAGGGGGGGCCCGGCCTGGCCCTCTGCCCTGGGCTTTGGGAGGATCGGGCCGGGGGCCCAGAGGGTGGGCACAGGAAGGACAGAGGGGCCTGGGCTCCAGGCTCAGCTGCAGGAGACGTCCCGTCTGTGTCCCCACCCTTCCCCCATCAGGCTCTCGTCCTGCAGTCCGCCGTTGTGCTGGCCCCACCCCATGCCCCCCAGGCAGCTGTCCACCCGCCGCCTACCAGGGTCCCAGGACCAGAGGCCTACACCCGACAGTCCTCCTGCAAGGTGCTCCTCCACCAGCCCGCCACACAGGGTGCTCTGCCCACAGGCACATCCCCAACTGCCCGGCCAGCAGGTGAAGGGAAGAGACAGGTCGCAGCTGCCCCCTGAGCTGCCTGGGCCGTAGCGTCCCCCAAAACACAGGGCCTGCTGGGCTGGACCCAGGGCTCTGGGGCTTATCACATTCAACCTGATGCCTCCACCCAACCCCTCAGACTGACAAGCTGAGCCCACCTAAGCCCATCTCCTCCCAGCTCAGCCCAGTTCAGCTCAGCCCAGCTTAGCTCAGCCCGGCCCAGGCCAGCTCAGCCCAGTTCAGCTCAGGCCAGGCCAGGTCAGCCCAGTTCATCCCAGCTCAGCCCAGCCCAGCCCAGCTAGCCTAGCCCAGCTCAGCCCAGCCCAGCCCAGCTAGCCTAGCCCAGCTCAGCCCAGCTCAGCCCAGTTCAGCCCAGCCCAGCCCAGCCCAGC